ACTTTCCTGCTAACCTTTAGTAATCTGTGTAGTAAAATACACCTCCATAGTCTGTAGTATCCCCCTACTCAAATAAGCCCCTTTCCCATAGAGCATGCATGGCAAAAATAAACGGGTACTGTGCCTTTAAATGAAGGTGAGGAGATATATTCACAGTGACTGTAGGTTTACATTGTTGTGTATAGGGGAAATGTTTATCTTTCACCGTTTGAAGTTTAAAAAAGTGGGTAGCTGGTATACTGAGGGGGTGCTAGCTTTGGATTTACCACTGAACACCCAGCTCTGTGCAGACATGAAATAAATACATGACTGTGTAAATTGGCTTCTTGCGTGCTGAGTAGAACCCATACTTGGGACTACACTGGGACTGTTGCAGACGACAGTCACTAGCTTGGTTTTGCTCTTGTTTTGTGGCAAATCACTCAGTAATGTTTCAAGTTCTCTGCAATGTGTTCTTCAGAGGGGTAAGCCAAGAAAACTGTAAACTTACTTTTAGGGCATTTGATAAGCATCAGCTCTTAAGATACTACATGATCCTAGGCTGATAGGTCCACAAATCCTGAATATGCCTTAGCAAATTTTATGACAGTATATTAGTCTATACTTATTAAAAAGATACAGAAGGACTGGAAAGCATAACAGACAAAACATCAGAGAAGCAAAGAGCTTTCCCGTGGTGAGTCCAGCTAGAACTTGCTTGACAACAGAATAGGGAAATACAACCAGCAATTTAGCTTACATTATGTTAGTGATTGATAGTATTCTTTGAAATCCTAGTCTGCAAATGACCCCAAACTTTTGTTTGGAACCTATGGAGACATTTGCATCATAAATACTATGGTTGTTCCGGAAGTGAGAGTGGAAGTGTGCTTGGGCAAGCAGAAACATGAGAAGAAACAGTAGAACGAGGACTAGAACAATGGCATATATTGTTATCTGAGGTCAACAGTTCACCTGGATCACAGCACAACGTATGAATGGTTTCATTCAATAACCAGAGAGCAAGAAAATGAAACCATAGATTAAGATGACAGGAGGATAAAGGAATTGGCCTGGAGCCAGAACATAACCAGAAAGGGAAAACAAAAGCAAAGCATTGACACAGCAGTGTTGTCTAAGACTCATGTGGAGTGAAACTAGATACTAAGATCACAGTAACTGTTGACTCTCAAAGGTTATCCAAATGCAGTTTGTTTAGGACATATAGAGAGTATTCAGTACTGACATGTCTTGTCCTACATGTTGAGCACAAATTGTCATGGCTAGGTTAATTAGACACATACATACTGATACTTCTGTTGGTGAAAATACGAGTAAACAGAGTCAGCTGATTCATGAAGTTAAATAAAAATCACTTTCCTTATCTGTATGGTCTCCTAGTGAGTTTTGTTTTCTTAACTGCCACATAAATTGGCAGAGAATCCAAAGTGAGAAGGCAAGATGAAATCTTTCCACCATTGTTTCTTCATTGTGAAAGGAAGTGGCTGGATCCATTAATTGAAAAAGAAAAAAAGGTAGGAACCACACACAGTGACTCATAATTTAAATAGAGAGAAAACCCCAATTTCTATATAGTACTTAGGTCTGTTGATGCAGAGATTTGTGATAGGAACACTAAGGCTGGCAAATACAAAAGTGTGTCTGAAAGCACCAGCAGAAACAATTTACAGAAGGGCTAAAAGAATAGTGAGTGTTGGTGGCATAGAGATCAGATGGTTAACAAGACCTCAGAACATCAGTGAGCGTACTGGGAAAATGAAGGACAGAACTGAAGATGTGGAGAATGGAAGGAAGATAAAGAACAGGATTTGATAACCAGAGAGGGAGACGCAAGGAGCAGTATGTCAGCAAAGTTAGTTGGTTAATTTAACATTTAAGGGCTTCTATGATTAAGTGCTGCTAAATTCTTTAGACATATACCATCGACCAAGTCTGAGCCTAAGTTTGAATCCAACTGCACCCAAACTCCTCTCTGAGAAGGAATTTAGAAAGCAAGGGGGTCTACTCTGAATCTTGCAACTCAGTGAAAGATCTCCCTTACCCTTTTCTCCCTTAAGCCTTTTAAACCCCTGCTGTCCACATAAATCACTCTAAATTGATTCTAATTTGCTTTTCCTTTATATGTATTATCCATGTAGTAAGTAGCAGAGTGAACCTTGCCATCAAACTTTGTTGTGCTTTTGCAAATTCATATTAAAGTTTGGTTTCACTATTACTTTTGATGGTGATTCTTTAAGTGACCTAAACCATTTATTTTGTGACAGGTCCAAGGCAGGAAGAGGACGTAAGACAATTGAAATTGGAAACTTTTCAGGCTGCAAGCATAAAAGTGCCAGATTCAACACGTCCTTCTTAGTCATCATGCCAACCACACAGGCAATAGTTTTGCCACAAAAAATGTCAGAAAGGCAAGCTAGTGCCAGCTCCAAAACACCCCCCCCCAAAAAAAAAAGAAAAAAAACCAAACAAGCTAGCAGTGAATCAGGCAATACACTCCATGTTTGGAAATGTTTGGACTAAAGAAATATTCCAGGTGGCAGAAAACAGACTTTCTTAGATTTATATTGCCTGAAAAAGCAAATACTCCTGAAACTCATCTCTTGGCCCACTGTTGCATCCATGTTACAACAGGCTTCAAGTGGAAGTAATCAGAGGCAAGACAAACATTAGAGGTGTATTTGCCCTTACTAAGGTAAAACCGAAAGGCACAGCACTGTATAATGGCACTGATTGATTCTGCACACCCTGAGGCAGTAGTGCCTGTGCCATTTGTAGTTGTTATTATTACAGTGGAGTTATAACCATAAAAGCCACATTAATTATCAGTTAAAGCAGATGTATGGAAACTTTCCAGTACCTACCTACCCTGTTCTTTGGTGTAAGAATCACCCCTCCACTACAACTCTGGCCCCAGAAGTTGACAGTGAAAAAGGAGAGTTATGGTGATTTTTTTGTGTCCTTTGTTCTTCACTGGGAGAAATGTGATGCTGTTGGTGGGGACTTCCTCACTCTAGGGTCTGTGCTTGGATTTATTTTTACACGTCTTGTAACATGCACCACATCTTCCTCTTTCTTTATTGCTTCACAATTCCTTATTATAACAAAATTCACTGTCTGTGGTTTAGTTTATGTTAAATACTTGCCCCTTGTTCTCTCTCTCTTTTTTTTTTTTTTCCTTAAAACCAGTTTTATCCGGCTCCCAAGGCTGCATTCCTTCAGTGACTGGTAACTGACCACTGGTAACTTGTTTATGACCCTGAGGTCTTTGGTACTATCCTGTGCTTGTACTTTCAAGGTCTCTGCTATCATCCTGTAGTCAATACTCTTCCAGGAGCTTCTAGGTCACAGACACAGAATAATGACCTATTTACACTAACTATAGTTACATAAAAAGCTACTATAAGAGTATAACACTCATGAAGTTAACTAATGTTAAAACAAGTTAGATAATATTATATGTAATCTGATTGTTAGGCAACTGCTGTTACAGCTAAATAAACAAATGCAAAGCCCCACGCAGGCCAAAACAAGCTCAGACAAAGCAGCTGTTGACAAATCTCAGCCTTGAAGCAGTACAAAACTAAATCACAGCCTCTGGCCTCTGTACCAGCAATGACACCACCACTTTACTTGGGCTTCAAGGCTACACCGTCAAGATACAGTTTCCTGAGAGCATTTCCATTTATGACCCCATGAGTTTTGCATGTATCAAGATACCCTGGTAGCATAGCTCATGTTTTCCCTGATGGAGCTTGACATACTTTAACATATAGTATCTTGATAGTTTTATCTGGGTGTAGAGTCCTAATAGTCTAAGCACATTCCAATATGGTTCCCTTCTAGGGTTAATGACTAGATACTTCCCTGTTCTAGAAACCTTCAAAATTCACTTTATACATCAATGGTAATACAATACATGCATACAACACTTTTCTTTTCAACTGCTTTTCCTTAATATCTGTCTAATTATGGCATATTACTGATATGAGTTTAAATCTGATTATGTTCAGGTTATGATACCGTGCCCTTAGTAATGAAGGACCAAAACAAGAATGTCCAGCAACTGTAAAAGAATACCTTGTGGGTGGAAGACTTTGAAGCATGAATGCATAATTTCAGCCTGAACAAAATCTGACTGACTGTTGGAAGTTCAGTGGTAAGTGCATTGGATATATAGCTGTGAACATCCATAGGGATGAATTTCTGGGCAGGTAATTCCAGTATGCAGGCCTGCAAGCGATTTTAGAGAGGTGATAGAAGGATGAGTGGTTTGAGATTCAGATTATTGTGCGCAGGGAATACGATTTTGGATATCTGCTTGAGCCAAAATGTGAAAGTGAGGAGATGGGAAGATTATTTCAAATAAGGATCCATGTAGAGAGATTGAGAAATGGATGAGTCAGTCTAGGAACCATTTGTGGATCAGACATGTGAAAGCTCATCAGAGAAACGAGATTAGGGAACTGAATGAAAGAGTGGTGGTTATGCCTGTTAGAGAGATTGCCAGCCTGAGGCATGTGATACAATCAATAACAGCAAACATCAGTGCCCAACAGAAATATGGAGATTAGGAAAACAGGAAAGGGAAAAGAAGGCATAGGAATAAAAAAACATATAATGCATTAACATGATAACTGGAAATACATCCCACATGCCTGACTTGACAAGTTGCTGACTCAGCTGGAGGCCTTTGTTCCGAGGGTTTAGTGACCATGACCAGCCTCCAAGGTCTGAGGATGAAGCAACAGTTGCAAGTGCTGACTGACCTTCAGTCATCCTGACTGCACAGGTGGTGCATGAAAACCATGAAAACTGTTACAGGGGCATGACAGAAGACAGTGAACAAGAGCAGGAAGAACTGAAATTACCAGTTATCCCTGACCTTGACAGTTTTAAGAAGCTCAAATTTGAGTGGCACCTGGGATTTAGTTCTTTGAAACACTTTTCTGCAATTAAGATGATGTTCATTATGCCCTTACCTTCACAAGAAACTCCTTCAGAGTGAGATATTCTAACCTGGATAACTGAGTTGCATCGGGAATGGTCAGAGATATAAAGCAAAATAGAAAATTGCTAGAATAGGAATGATAGAAGTGAAGGTGCCCATCCAAATATATATATATGCAGAGGTTGGGGACACAGTTTTGTGTTCGAAGTTGTTGACAGAACACAATTTGCAGGATAAAGGTGGAGGTCCTTCTGTGACTATAAATAGAATGGGTCCTCTGTCATATAAAATCAATGAAATGTCATAATGAAAAAATGAGTGTGTGCATCACAGTTAAGGCATATAGAATACTAAAAATATTCTGCTGGTTTATAGCCCTTTGATAGACATTGCAAGGTGATGATCTGAGAGGTTGGCGAGGAGTCAAGGACAGGGCTTGGTGTGCACGATCAAGTCTCAGTCCACAAAGTGAACATCCTGTGCCTGCTGATAATCATCAGTTCACAGTGACCCCAGGTTCCAATTACTGCAACATTGAATTGTTTGATGTGCAACCACGTGAGCGGGATAATCTCCCGTCAAAGAGAAAGGAGTACGTAAGTGGAGGCAGGGTCAACCCTGAGCTGTCCCTCAACTGGATGCTTTCCCTGACTCACTGCTCTTCCCAAGGGCAGCAGGGCAGGGCTGGCAGCCAGGACCGTCCTACCACCCCAGCTAGAGAGCAGGGCTGGTGGGGGCAGTCCCAGTGACTGGCATTGGGCACTGCTGGAACATCAGCCCATGGATCAGGGTCAGGGCCAGGCCCGGTGAGGGGAACCAGGGCCAGACACAGCTCCAGGATGGCTGGGCAAGGCCCTGGGTACAGATCCAGGTAGGGACATGACCTAGATCTAGGCAAAAAGAGAAAAATGGAAACAGTTTGACAGCATCTCCACAAGTGAAACATTGTTTCTTTCAGTGAAAACAGATTTTTCACCTATTATTGGTGAAGACGATGGAAATGATGAGTCTGTCTGCCCTCACTATTCTGAGAATTGTGGAAAGTCAGTGCAATGGATCAGTAACATTTTTCATGTTTCAAGATGCAGGGAACAATACTGTTACTGATTGTGGGTTTTGATTGGAAGAAAATTAACTTGTGTGAACTAATAATGTTAGTAATCTGACCTAGAGAATTTATTCAGACTTAATCTTGTAAAAAATCAACATAACTTAGAGCAATTGTAATGGAATCTGGACATCTAGATGAGCTGAAACACATGAACTAAGACAGGCCATGGACTGAGATTAAAATGCATGTGACCCCAAGACAGAATGAAAACTGAAACCAGGATGTGGTTAGTTCATGTTACCTCCATTTTTGAATACCACCATTCATAATAACTTGCGATCCTGGTGCCACAAGATCCCTTCTTTATTCTTTACCTCATATTATATCTAATTACTCGTCTTCTCTTCCCTTGATCCCACCTTTTCACTGTCCCTACCCATACCTGCTTGTCTCTGACCAGATTTCTCCCAAAATAAACAGCATTCCTCATAGTATTTCTTTCAAATTGGCCCTAATTCGGCTACTCCTGATGTTCCTTTTCAACCTTGTGTTTCCAACACTGTTACCTCAGCAATTTGGCCCAGTGCAGTGTAACTGATATATATAATTGCTGTATCAGCCTTCAAGAAGAGCAAGCTTATATCCTGACACCACCTTCCAATAATTAATTCATGATTATTATGTTTCACAGACTCCCTTACTTTTTGAAATTGCTCTCCTGTCCACAGTTCAGCCGTGGCACACAGCAGGGGGATTACACCCAATTCTGGTTTAGGTTGCTAATTTTAGGAGCTCTCTGAACACAGGCACAGAGTGTAGTTTAGAAAAGAGATATTGTTTGCTCTTTGCAGGGTGCAAGGTGGAAGTTTCCAATTCAAGCACATCATGGGCAAAAAGTTACCTCTTTCATACAGTAACTTTCACATAAACCCACCTACCTAATACATATTCTCCGCTTACCAAATGCATATTTATTTGGGTGATGTAATCTTAGATTGCTTTATTTGGGTGAATCTTACAGGACAAGAAACCCAAAGTTCTTTTCTTCATTAAGCAACTTCTATTGTATAAGTTATCTGACAAAATCAGTTATGCTTAAAAAAGATGAGAAAATTCAGCCCGAGGAGGGACAGATAATTCCACTCAAGGATGTGAACTGCACTGTCCTGCTGGTCACATCTCATTGTAGATAGCTCCTGATTGCACAGTATTCTCAGCTCTTGACCAAGGAGAGGCCATGTCTGAGAGTGGAGTAAAGGGACGGGGATGCCACAAAAACAGCACTAGGTTGGGAGTCACGCTCTGACAACTTGGAATCTGGAGAAGGCAAAGGTCAAGGATCCCCAAAAGATTAAGCACTGACCAGCAAAGAAACCAAAAAGCCTTAGGCAACAAGAAAACCATTACAGGATAAGTACCTGAAGTCCATCTGCTGCAACACACTCCTGATTTCTCTGCTGTAATGGGAAGTTGTGACGTGCCTGTGAGTGTGTGCAAGGGTAATTAGAAGTGCAGCATGGTACTGAGTTTGTCTTAATAAAGAAACAAGTTTTAATTTCTCACTTGCATTAAACGTGTTGGGCCCATGAAACCTGTTTGGCATGTTGAGAAGGATGTTCACCTCTGTAGCAACTGATTTTCAGATCACAGAATCATAGAATACCTCAAATTAGAAGGGACCCACAAGGATCATCAAGTCCAACTCCCTGCTCCTCACAGGACTTTCTTAAACCAAACCAAATCACAAAGGATGTTGTTCAGATGCTCCTTTAGCTCTGATAGGCTTGGTGTCATGACAACTTCCCTGAGGAGCTTACTTCATTGACTGGCCGTCCTGTCGGTGATGCCGAATTTGTGCCCCAAAAGGCGCAGAGAAACTGCTCAGAGACAAAGTTTTAGTCTTTAAGCAGCGAGGTATTTATTTTAGGCAACGTTGGGGAACTCTCAGCTGGCGCTGGACAAAGAGTTCCGAAGCACTCAGTGAAAAGCCAGACTATTTATACAATTCTTGCAAGAGACTACATCATCATTTCATGAATATTCATGTTATTGCAACATTTCATTATAATATTCATAGTAGGTGGAGTTAGGGCAGAGTTAAGGGCGCGGTCATCATTTTGGGGAGATCCTTGGTGGTACATCCTCTTACTTTGGCCTTGGGGGTCCTTGGTTTACTCCTCTTTCTCGGGTAATCTTTTGAACTTTCCTCAATTTGGCTGACTCCAACATGTATTTGGCAGGAGTTTCTGGACTCTGGCCCTTCTCTTTCCTCCTTATCTTCCTGTGTTCCTTCCATATGTCTATTTATGTGTGTGTTAGCATTTTTGGTGCTCTTACTCTATGTTCTTTTGTGTCAGTGTGTCAGATTTATGTGTGTTATCTTCCGCTAGTCCTTGAAACTTAGTTCTTTATTTCTTTGCTCAGAGCATGCATTCTAAGTTAACTCTTCAGGCCTTGCTCTGCTTCACCAGGTTAACTTTTCAGGCCTTGCTCTGTTTCATCGGTGAAGAACCTTCTCCAAATATCCAGTCTGAACCTCCCTCAGCACAGCTTCATTACATTTCCTCCTGCTGGTCACCAGAGAGAGGAGATCAGCACCTCTCCCTCCACTGCTCCCTGTGGTGGTACATTTCCTCCCCTGCTCAGGCTGCTCTACAGCCTCAGGAATTCTCATTAGGACTAAGCTGTGAGTAATGACTTAAGCAATGAAGCTTTCCTGGACCTTATCTCATGCATGATTGAGGCAGGAAGGCACTGTCCACAGCAGAAGCTTCTGTTAGCTACCAAAGGACAAGAGGCAGTCAGCCATCCCGTTACAGTCTTGGAACATTACTTGCCTGAATCATCCTGGAGACTGACAGATGACTGAAGCCAAGCATTATGTAACCCTATAAACAGCAGTCTTAAGTGAGACCCCTGGAGCTCTCCTGGACCTCAGTGGGCTGCATGTGCCAGCCTCTCACTGTGGGTGGGATGCCTCTCAGAGCTGGCCAACTCTAATACTTGGAGGACCTTCACTGAAAGCTGAAAACTGGGTTGACAGCCCCACTCCTCACAGCTCAGCCCTTCACCTGCTGAGAGATGCAAAGACATTCCACATGAGTATTTCACTGATCTGGGGGTGGTGGTGGTGTGGTGGTGGTGGAATTTTTAACAGGCACCTTTGAATGTACTGGCTTTGCATACCCTGTAGCAAGTATAGTATGAATATTGCCAACTCAGATTTGTAATTAAGTTACTTCTGTACTTATATGCTCTACTGAACCATTTTGTAGTGTTAAATGAGATAATGATTAAGCTCCTAAATCCTTTGGACATAAAACCATTGAGTAAGCCTGAAGCTAAGTTTGACTCAATGTGAGGGTCTCCCTTATCCTTTAGCACTCTTACTTTTTGTATCCCAGTCTCAGTGAAAATGATTTTAAACAAGTTCTAATCCAGTTTTCCTTTATATGCTTTATCTATGCAGTAATAGAGCGAACCTTGCCATTTTACTGTGTTAAGTCATGCTTTCACAAATATATATTAAAACCTTCTTCTGTTAATACCTTTGGTGGTGATTCTTTAAGCGACCAAAGCACTCATTCACGACACTCAAGAAAGTTGTAGACTGCAATGGGGTCACCCCTCAGTCTTCTCTTCTCCAAACTGAGCAAACCAAGTGACCTCTGCCACTCTTCATAAGTGTTGCACTTGAGGCTGTTCACCATCTTGGTCACTCTCTAATAGTTTGATGTCATTTTTATATTGAGGTGCCCAAAATCATACACAAAACTCCCCCTACAGAGGTGAGGCTGCACCAGCGTAGGGCAGAGTAAAGCAGGACAACCATCTCCATCAAACAGTCCAGGATGTGGTTGGCCCTTTTGACTGTCAGGGAGCACCGTCAACTTGTCCTCTACTTGCTGTCCACCCAAGCCCCCAGATCTCTTTTCAGGGGGCTGTTCTTCAGCCTCTCATCCCTGTTACGATCCTATAAGTGAGAGATGCCTCTGCCCAAATTAAGGTGCAAA